CCAGATCGGTTGCCACGGCGATCGATATTCGCCGAGGCAGGTAGTGCGTGAAAGAGAGTCAAAGGTGATCAAGCCAAAACCTGGCATGAGGGTATGAAAACCCTAACCAGTTGTCTGGGTCACATAGGTCCTGTTAGGCTCCCTGGATGGGGACCGCGGGATGGTCATACGTGATGGTTGGAGACATTGAGTGATATGGCTGGGTGTCGTAAACAGTGACTTTCGTGAATCTTCTCAATTTCTCTGTATCATTGGCCNTCCAATCTTCTCTTCGATCCTACTTTCAACCTTGCCTATCTTTCTTCCAATGTTCATCCAAATGGACAACCGAAAGATAGCAACCAAAACCGGCGCACGATAGTGCATGGTTAATGGTTGTACAAACTGAAACTGAAACTCTCACTTACCTTTCATGCATTATTGATTTTAGCAGCGATCAATGATGTTCACTTCACTGAATTCCGCTGTATGATGAAAATTATGCCTGATGCTGGTGCCTCGCAGGCCGTGAAGGTACGTTCATAAAAATTGCATCAACTTGATTATGCTTAACTAGAGGTGGGGTAAATTGTTAGTTCCAGTTTATTTTTCTTTCCTAGTTACCGATTTTGCTGCTTTCATTCCCTCTTCCAAATCCGTTTATCTTTTAGGGATTCTCCACTTCGTTCCGACAATGGAACTTCCCTGGTTGGTTGCATTTTTCGTTTTACACACCTGCAGGATCGAAAAATATCGACCTAATTCGTTGGAGGAATTGATCAGCCACGGTGACATTTCGAAAACGAGTAATTTCTTTTAATCCTTTAACTATATCAATTAGTTTCCCGATTTATTGATCAGGGTCGTTTACCACATTTACTGTTTTATGGACCTCCGGGAACCGGTAAAACCAGTACGATATTAGCGGCATGCAAAGCTTTGTATGCCCCAAAGGAAATGAGTTCCATGGTCCTTGAAGTGGGTGGGGTTCCTTGATTTTCTTTAAACCATTAATATTTCATAGCTTAATGCATCGGACGCTCGCGGTATCAATGTAGTCCGCGAACAGGTGTTGAGTTTCGCAAGCACCAAGACATTATTTGCGTAAGTTACCTGCTTAATTGGAACATTTTCATATATTAGCGGAAAATTTAAGCTTGTGATACTTGACGAAGCAGATTCAATGACCAAAGACGCTCAGAATGCCCTTCGTCGAAGTAGGAATACTCCCCCAACTTTCATAATGCCGTCTAGTTATTGAAAAGTTTACTGAAAACACTCGATTCTGCTTGATATGTAATTATTTATCGAAAATCATTCCTGCTATTCAATCTCGGTGCACCAAATTCCGGTTCGCGCCGGTCCCTTTCACACAAATGAGCAAGCGCTTGGAGGAGATTGCACTTAATGAGAAGTAAGTCATGACTTTTGATGATGTTGTCTATGGTTTCAGTGTTTCCCTGATAGATGAAGGCAAAAAGGCAATTTACCGCTTTACCACTGGGGATATGCGTAAAGCCATCAATCTACTTCAGGTGCGTTGTTTTTTGTTTTCAACTTCTGTTGATTATCTTCTACATTCATTGTTTCATGCAAGTGGTGCTTATTGGCTTTGTCGTTTCCTACTTCCTCACATGTTTCATGATCCATTACAATTGGTGTGTATTGAATGTCGCCAATTTTCAATGTTGAATTTTCATTGAGTATGTTTCTGCGCTTACCAATCCAATCAGGTTAGTTTCGGTTTGATCAGCAACTTTGTCGAAAACTCTGATGGTTTATTTGTTGGTTGAGCTTCGTTAATCATTCAATCCGTATTTCCTGACCTAGTCTAGTATAGTGAAATCGATTGATTCCGATTTGTGTTACTTTATCTAGAGTGCCGCAATGTCGGCTCCAGTTGTCGATGAAGTTGCTGTTTATGCATGTGTTGCCTATCCTTCTCCCGGTGAAATCCGTGTACTAGTGGATACCATGATGAATAAACCAATCAGCGCCGCCTTTCAAAGTAAGTCTCGCTCACAACATTTTGCATTTTGGCTTTCCTGGTGTGAGACCACGTCACGTCCTCAAATGGACTTAGAATTCGCCTTAGGGTGCACCATTCCAATGTGTATGAACCCTCACGTGATTGGTCACCCTGATACTGTCCAGCTTGATTTGTGACTTTTTCTTTGTTCTCGAATGGAGGCTCATAAGTCTAAGTTATAAATTTTATGGTACCCTGCGCGATTGAAAACTCCGCACACAAATCGTAAATACCTTCACTTTACCAAGGAAATCACTACTCGTACAAATATACAGAAAACCGCTTTTCCGTTTGTCTTTTTTACAATATTAAACCACCCGGAAAAATCTGGAATCTCTAGTCTCTTGGATACGTTCTCTCGACTGCTCCCCTCTATCGTGGTCTTATCTACCGAAACGGCAAAGAAAACGTTTTCTATTTCCTACTAGGTTGACACGTGGTGCCACTGCATCTAGGAAAAGTAACCGAAGATTCTAACTACAAGCTTCGTGGATCGGTTGGATGGAAACGCCGATTAGATGATGAAACTGTAGTGTTGAATGCGAGTCACTTGTATACAACACTAATCAGTGACTAGGGTCTGTAGCTAACGAGCTAACCACGCCTGTTATCCTATTCAATTCAGAGTACGCACATGAAATGTATCTGTTTGAAGGTGCATCGTGAATAAAGAAAGGCTTCCGCTGGTAAAAGTGAAGGATTCGGTAAAACTTGGAAGCTAGTCGAAGCAAGTCGTGATAGAATATGGGTCAAATTTCCATCGGGATCACCATTTTGTCTCATTTTTTTAATTGCCCGGTGAAAGCAAATTTATATGGGGGAGTGTAATGGCGAATGGGGAGGTCGAGGATGGTGTGAGCGCGGTGAGGAAATTTTTGCATGATTGGATTAAAGATTAGGGTTTGAATTCATTGAAGCAAAATTCATAGTTGCACGCTCTGTAGGTTACTGTACTGCTTGGTGGTCCTATCTAAAGTAGACTTCTAGCCTTTGCTCAACCAAGCGCAAAATGCCAGGCAGTGGCGTTATCTAGGTGAACCGATGGTTTGGTCCATTTACCTCTTCTGGAGATTTCGCCCATTAGATCACCAATAGACATTTTGAGTAGAACAGTGAAGCAAGCAAGGCTTGATTTAACTTATTCTTCTTCACTGGTTTATATAGCTCAGGTAAAAGAGGGTGATAATCGCGCGCAGAAAAAGAAGTAAATAATAAACTTTGAGAAACGTGTATTATCCCGTATTCTCACTTGGAAAACTATAAAATCAACGAAATGGTTTGTTAAATTTATAGGAAGGACTCATCATTCTCAGCAATTAAGCGATAACGAGTGAGGGCCCATTCTGCCGTTTAATCGTGAATACAGTTCAGGTTAACCCAGAGTGTAGATACCCAATTTTTTAAATACTCTTCGAGGTAGGAGACAATGGCAGGATAATTTGTGCGGGTTGTGCCCTAGGTTGTCACTTTTAGAAACGTGGAACGTCACTAAGGTTGCTTTACTGGTGTCATTCTACACTTGGATAGAAATTCCTTAGGGGTTCAAAAGATGCCATTTGGTGGTGTGGTAACGTGGAAATCTGTGGAGCCGACCGCTAACACCAGTTGAAGAGCACATAGTTCATGAAAGCGAAAAATTTGGAAATATATAATGTGTGTTCATAGGTTGTGTGGGCATGTTACTTCCCGGTTGCCGTAACCGAAAAAGGGGGCAACCTCGGGGTCCCCACCCGAAGCGTTTGGCTAGAAAGCCTGACCTGCAAGACAGCAGGACAGAACTCGGAGTCCGCAATCCATTGGGGGCCGATGTCCGGTTCATTGGATCATACGCCCTTCGGACGGAGTCAGAAGTCTAAGGTGCCCAATGCATCTTGATGTCCGATCGAGCCGGTGACTCCTGTCATGACCAGAAAAGTGTGGATAGTTCGTACGCCTCCTCTTGTTTGGTTTGGAATCAGGGTTTTTAGCCATTTCCCATAGGTAAACTGCCAATGGTTCACTGACCCTGTTATAACCCCGGATGTTGGCTTCTCGTCCTCTCACTTTGGTGGGGGAAAACACCGCCACGGGAAGGCAGTGAGAAGAGGCATGAAGAACCACATCCATGTTTTGTTCAGAGTAGGCATCTTAACTGGAACTGGCAGCGCTGATGCTCCCAAGTTTGTATGCGTGCTTACACTGTCGGCACGCATACAAAAGTTACCATTTGCCAACTTGACACATCTGTGACGATGCCGCGACATCTGTGAATAGTCGATTATTTGCTGCGACAGACCAGTCCTGTTCCACGGTGCAGAGACTTGGCCATTACTGGAACAGGATAAAAATTGATTAGCGCTTTTTCGGACACCGCTGTCTACGCCGCATCGCACGAGTCTGGTGGGGCAACCGGATAAGCAATGCAGAGTTTTGGGTAATCCCGGTTGTCCACTGGAACAGGTGGTCGACCTTCATAGACTACACTGTTTGGCAGCGGTCAGTGATGTTTGCTTCACTGTATTTCGCTGTTCGATGATGATGATGACTACACTGGTTGGGACACGTGTTGCCAAGTAGGTTATTAGAGACGCTGGGTGATATGGCTGAATGTCGGAAACTGGCGCTCGTGCATTTATTCATTATCCTTGCAACACGTCTATATGTTTAAGGCACACTGAAAAGGCGCTTGTTTGCCAATTTGTGTTCTCATTATGAGTTCCGTGGGACTGCTTAAGCATTTAAATTTACTCCCTCAGTCGGTGTTTATTAACCTCCCCGTTCCTTTTGAGTCGACTTGGCTCAGTTCTTATCATACCGATATTCAATGTGTTAATGTCGAAGGCATAGGGCTAATTTATTTTATCAACAAAAAGCGCATCCAGATCCAAATGTTTTTAGATGTAGGTTACCTAGCTAAAACTTGATAAATCCCATAGGATCTTGAATGATTCGATGGTAGTACAAATGAAACGATGAAATCAAATATCACGTTCACTCACGGGTGTCAGATATTTAAGCATCTCAGTGCTTCATAGAGCCGTGACCTGAATGAATAGATGGTTGGAATAAAAAATTACTTGGGATCTAAGAGAGTTTAAGATAGTTCACACTCTAACGCTGAAAGAGTGACACCGGTAGCCTAGCTGACTCCCGATGCAAATATTTAAAGACATTATCCCTTAGGTGACCATTCGCGGTTCATATTAACAGGGTAGTTATGTTGATACAGTATTTAGTATATGGTAATCGTGCTTCTCCGTATTCTGTGGTTTTAAAGTGATTAGGGTCCTAGGATTTGTAGCCTTTCAACATAGGTCTTGCATTGTAACTCTTTGAACTTGATAAAAATGCATTTGATTCCCTATTCTCAATTTAACCTCGTTTTTTGCTATCCTTCTTTTTAGGTATTTTGGAGACTAAAAATCTCAAAGGTATTGCTCTTCAAGACATTTTGACTGAATTGCACCATATTGTCATGAAAAGTAAGTGTATCACTTTCGATTGTGGCATGCTACTTGGTTTTGGATTTGGTGTTATTTATTTGAACGATCTTATCGCGAGACACAGCGAATTCGATTTTACTACTCCATTTTCGTGAAGTCTTCGACTGTCAATGTTTGCGTCGGTTGGACGCTGCTTGTGTGTAAGCAACACTGAAGTAAGCCATCGAGTATTTGCAAATGAATCAATCGGTTGAGAATTCGTTATCGCATCACATTCAGATTAGTAGGTTTGACCGGTTAGGACACGTATTGCTCATGCCCATGTCGTATGCCGCACCGTACCTTATTTGCAGTTACGACTCCAGGTTAAAGTAAACCAGGTCAGCAGATGACGGGGAAAAAATATGGAGGAATGCATAGAACGATTAGGTAGAATGTTTCTCGTATTCCAGTTCCGGAACTGCTTTGTTGGAGACATTAAAGGATGTGACAATGAACCGACAGCGTTGGTGTCCTTGTCACTTTTTATATCAGATCAAAGTGCTTGATAAAGTGTATATGTGCAGTTAGACTGTGTACTTTGTATGTTGACGATGGAGTTTTGCTTTCACTCCTCCTCTCAAAAAAGCCCCAGTCCCTATCCGTCTTGTGCATTTCTATCTTCCTGGATCTGAAAGCGGCTTTCGACTCGGTCGACCGCTCAATGTGGAACACTGAGCAGGTCCCCTCCTCGTGGGGGGAATCGATTGTTGTCCCGGTCTCCAAAAACGGCCCGAGCAATGGCTGCGCCAATCATAGGGACATAAACCTCATCCCGATAGCGTCAAAGCTGTTGGCGTCCGTCGTTCTCCGCCGATTGTGTACTACGCGTGAGGAACAAGCTGGGTTTCGTGCCGGTCCTGGATTCATCGATCAAATCTTCGTCCTCCGACAGCTGCTAGAGCACCGTCATACCTATCAAAGACCAACGATCATTGTGTTCTTAGATATCCGCGCGGCCTTCGACTCTGTCGATAGGACCGCACTATGGAACTGTGTTGAGGCTTGGAGTACATGATAAGTATGTGTCAATCCTCAAATAGTTGTATCGTCATACCTCAGGTCGGGTTAGGGCCTATGGCCAACTTTCGCCACCCTTCGCCGTCTCCAGTGGAATTCGGCAAGGCTGCCCTATATCCCCATTCCTTTTCGACTTTGTCATAGAGAATGCTTTGTCCGGTCTAGCAAACGGTGGAGTCGAACTCCTCTCAGG